TATATGTGGGCTATTGAAGTATTAGATAAATCAATATAGCTAAATCACAATGACTATGAATCATTATGGTGTAAAGGTAATAAATAGTAAATAATTAATAGGTAGTTGTTTAAGACTCTTAAATAAATATGATGATGCAATTATTTGGTTGGACAAAGCTCTATCTATTAATCCACTCCATATTTATTCCTTAAATGAAAAAGGTAAATTTAATAATATTTGAATTAATAGGTACATGTTTAAGAAGATTAAATAAATATGAGGATGCAATTATTTGGTTGGACAAAGCTTTATCAATTAATCCAAAGCACATTATTGCCTTAAGTGAAAAAAGTAAATTTAATAATAAAATAATTATTAGGTACATGTTTAAGACTCTTAAATAAATATGAGGATGCAAATATTTGGTTGGACAAAGCTCTGTCTGTTAATCCACAGCACGTTAATTCCTTAAGTATGATAATTAATCAAAATTAGAATCTTAATTAAATTAAATATAGTTAAGTTATGATGGATAAATTAAGTAGAGTGATATTTTGAAGAAATAGAATTAATCTATTTTAAATAATTTAACAAAAATATAAGAAGATTGTACTAAATGTAATCTATTCTATTTTATATATTTTATAGAGATTACTTAAATTGATAATCTTAATTAAATATTGAAAGATAAAGATAAAGAAATTTCAAAAATTAATCTATTATTATAATAAACTACGGATTAATTGATATAATTGGAAAAAGATTGTCAAGATATTAAATATTTATAAAAATAAATATAAATAGTATGATATTATACATCTTATTAATAGTAGTAGTAGTAGTAGTAGTAGTAATTAGACTAATATCCATAAAGTTTAACATTTTCATAATCATTTAAACATAATAATTGTTAAATATCATAAGATGGAAAAGTTGTTTTTGATTCTCCTGGTGTTAGTTGGTATAGTTGTATTTGTGATCAAATGATTCCAAGACATGGATTAGTTAAATTTGCATTTAAAATATTAGATAATATTTATGTCATGATAGGAATAGGTTTCAGAGATATTCTATAAAAGAATTATTATGTTAATGCTTATGGTATTGGAAAAGGGTATTTATTAGAAAATATCTATAATAGAACATATTATATAATATATGGCGGTTATTTTTTAAGCTACGATTAAATAAATAAATAAAACAAAAAAAGATTTGAATTTACAA